GTTACTTGACACCTCTGTTGATGATGCTAATGCATGAACCCATGAATCCTTTAAACCATATAATGGTTAATATAAAACAGAAGGAGGTTTGTTTGGAATTGAACGCAGATGTGATGTGAATCCAGACGGGCTCGAGGCAGCAGCACAAATCCACCTCCTACTCCAACAGGGCTTCCACTGTTGAGGTCTAAAAAGCTGGATTTGTATGTCATCCTGCTGTGTGTGTGAGTGAGCGCAGGGAGGGGAGCTGCCTCCCTGTTTCTATAGAAACCAGTATTGTGTGATGGAACGCAGCGTTTGTGATGCGTAACCATGTGTGTGCTGTTCCATGTTGAAGTCCGGTCCTTCCTGGTCGTTTCAGGGCTGCAGAAGGTTCACTTGAAGGCCTTGGACGGGCAGCGGTACTCCACCCTGGAGAGGCAGTGCTTGCAGAGTGGCCTGCTCTTTGAGACCCCCGCTTCCCCGCCATCGACCACTCGCCGTTCCACCACGCCAACAGGATGGGACGCGTGGTGTGGAAGAGGCCTCGGTGAGTGGGACCGTAGATTCAGGGTTTGAGGCTCCCTGTGGGTCTTTCTGATCAGTCATCAGGACCCAAACGCTTGAAATGATCCATTTAGTGGTCTCCTAACGTACAGTATCTGCCCAGGAACATATTATGAGAATGGGGTACGTAAGTGCACCGTGCTAATGCTGCTTCGCCCCCAGCAGGAGCACCGTGTCTGTCTTGCCCGTTAGAGCGTCCCCCCCCGATGAGTTCTTCACGCCTGGTCAGCGGCCATCAAGCGCTTCTCCTCTCCCTTCTGTGGTCCTCTGGTGCAGGCCGGGCGACCGGACGTATGTTTCAGTGGCAGATGATACCGGATGCAGGGCCTCAGGACTCAGTGAGCCGACCCCCCCCTGACATGATGCTCATGGACTACAAAGTGTACAGCTTCTCCCGGAGTGGCCTGATGAGCTGGTCTCACACTTCCAATGCTGCTGCAGGTGCCGGCTTTGTTATTTCTGAAGGGTGTGCTCCAGCATCTTCACGGGGGGGACGACTTTGGAGACAGACACATTGTCCTCTGCCGACAGCTCTACAGTGGATCATAGAGGGGAGACAGCAAAGAAAGGCACCCTCCAACAATGTGGAACCCTTCTGCTGTAGGAAGGTGATGTCATGTTGCTCCTACTGGCTCCCTTTGCTCCACCAAACGCTGCAGCATCCAACATGTGCTGCTCCATCTGGCCTCCACTTCTTGCATTAGCTTCATGTTTGCCGTCCCCAGATGAAGTTGTGTCAGCTTCTCCTTTAAAGATACAGATGAGTAGCCATTGACTCACTGCAGTAGGAACACAGACAAACTCTCAGCGTTATTAGAAAGTGGGATGAAGGGAAAGAGCAAACCTTAGCAGTGGTGCTGCTCCTAAAGAAGCCAACCAGCTTCCGTGCGTTGGCCCGGATGCCAGAGAGCACCGGCTGCTGCTCAGGTCCCTTCTTCACTGTCAGATTCAGTGTGCAACATAAAATATGGTGGCGAAGCTTCAGCTCTCACACAGGAAACCATATTGGGAGCACCATCAGTGACCACACACGTCACCTTATGATCGATTCCCCATTCCTCCATCAGGGAGGCTTTCACACGACCTATATGTTCAGCAGTGTGTGATCGGAGGAACCACTGAACCCAGTGTGGTTTTCTCCCCCACAAAGTGGCACCTTACAGCCAGGTAGGCATCCATTCTGATGGATGTCCACATGTCAGAAGTAAGGCTAACAGCAGCCACCTTTTCCACTTTAGCCTTCTCCTTAGCTGACTCCTACTCAGCCTCCACCACGGCCTGCAGAGCCTAAAGGAAACACATCTAGTGCTGAACTGTGAGACAATGAAGTACTCATGTGTTTCATGCACCCACACATACCTGCCTTGTAGGGAGAACATGATGAGGATCCAGTTTGGACACAAATGCCCTGAATCATCCACAATACTGAAGGGCTGCGTGTCCTTCGCTGTCATGGAGACGAGGCTTCATCCAGCTCTTGTTTTAAAAGACAATGAACACAGTGTCTGTTACCTGTCTTTATTTGCACAATGAACAACAGTGAATAATTGTGTTGGTGCATTTGTAATGTTGTGATGACTTACCTTGGCTGGGTGAAGCTCCAGGTTCCTCCTTATTCTCATGCAAGGCACGGTGAGGCCTCAGCATGGAGGAGGTGCTGTTATTGCACCCAAACTCCTCGGAGCACAATAAACACCTCACCTTTGAATCAAATAAGAAACTGAAAAATACAGTTCTTGATAAGCAAACCTAATGTGTCTGAAATAGAGTGAGATTCAGCTCACCTTATTAGGAGTGATCTAATCACAGAGGAAGTCCTCCTCTTCCTAGCTGGCTCCATCTTATCACCTGTCCTTCTCTCCTCACTCTCAACTATCTCTCTCTAAACTCTCCAAACGATATAAACTATCCCAACCATCCAAACTCTAACTGACCAACTCTCCACCAACAACCCACATCTTGAATGGAGCCTGAGGGGTTTATACATGGAAGTAAATCTGAAGCCCTTCTCGAAGCCGTCACGTGGTCCCGCCGGGCAGCGAGGCTTCGGACGCCATCGTTTATGGCTCCTCCCCTAAATGAAGCGAGCCTCGGTACGCGCTGCGAGGACACGCCCCCTCAGTCACTCGACACGCGCGAGGCGTCGGCACATCTGGTAACGTCACTCATTTTGACTATTAAAGTCTTTTTGTTTTCAAGCTCTGCGTCTGGGTGCTGCCTCTGCCTTCCCCCATCACCAACTGAGTAATATATGAACATATAGAAACATATAGATTATTAGTGTTAAACATAAATACAACAAACACGTAAACAGAATTACTTGTCAGTTGTAAAAAGGTCACAGCAGCTATATAATAAATAGCTGCTGTGACCTTTGACAGATAATATGAGGACTTTGGAAATGTGAAAAAAGACGTTCATGCCCCAACAAAATGGTCCATGTTGAATTTTGTGGCTCCTCCATCTATGTTTTTTCAAATAAAGAAACAAAAACATAATTTCAAGTAAGCAGATGGCTCCATCAGCTAAAAACAAATGAAACGTACAACCATATTTTTTTAGAGCAATGCAAATAAAGTTATACCTCTCCATCAAATAACTCACTCTGAATGGTCATTTGCATATTCCAGAAGGCCTCACTGACTCTCCACGTTCCACCTTCCGTGTTCTAACTTCCATGTCCATGTTCCGTTCTCCACAGCTTAAGAACACTCGCGGGTCAGGTAGTTAGCAGCCTTGGAACTGCACACAGGTTTTTTGCAGTGGCCGAACATTGAGAAAAGGCCACAATGACTCTGTGGCCCTAAAAGGACTCGAGGTAAGTGGGGAATCCAGACAGACGTCTGCATTAACTGGTGTTGGTGGTTTACTGGACTTGTCAGGTGGAGAAGTGGGTACCTGGAGATAAACCTCTGATTCACGCTGTTGGGACCTTTTTCTTACGGTGTCTTTTGTGTCTGAGCCGTGAAAGGATGAAATAAGACCATTTAACGCAGCCGGTGGCTTTAGTTCACTACAAATGTTCCCTTCTGTTTTTCCTCATGTGTAGATGACGATGAAAGCTCTTGGGACAAAACGTCCTCATCCAAAGGGCGCATCCCAAAGAAGAGGGTCCGACGCCGTCAGAGACTTGACACCGGCGTCAGAGCGCCATTGCTCGCCCGATACGAAAGGCCCGAAAGCTCCGGGCAGCGTGTCAGCGTGACTCGAGCAATGAGGAAAGACCAAGAGGAAAGGAAGCACAATCAGAGGAGGCGAGAAGAGGATTAGCGTTTTGTTTACGCTAATTGTAGCCTCGGCTATTTTGGTGTTCTCCTAGTCCGGTAGTAGTTAAGCGCTATTTGGTGACTCTCTGGTGGGTCTTGTGCTTCCTGTACTTCGGGTAAAGGTTTGTATATATATATATATATATATATATATATATATATATATTTTGTTTGTATATATTAGTATGTATATAATGCACAAAGGTGTAGAAAGACATAGATAAGTGTGTGTTCCACTTCTTGTTAATGTACAGAGAATTGAAATACACAAACAAGGACACAAGTCAAACCTGAAAACAATAGTTTTATTCATATAGGAATCCATGTGTTTATTAGATGATTTATTGGTTCAACTTTTCATAATCAGAGATTGGGCCAAAATATACTGGTGGGCTGTTCGATACATTTGCACTACAAGTTTTCAACAGCAGACGTCATCATAGAGTTTGAGATGCATTGAATGAATGAACCTTTTTACGATACGATTGGCTGGAAAACTTCACTGCTTCATAAAGCTTCATAGAGCTTCACTGCTTCATAAAGCTTCACTGCTTCATAGAGCTTCAATGCTTCATAAAGCTTCATAGAGCTTCACTGCTTCATAAAGCTTCATCTGGCCGTCACTAGTAAACAGCAGAATGTGCACAGAGGAACTGAAGTCACACAGAAAGAACTACAGAACAGGAGTTTGCTGGACAACACGAGCAGAGCTACTGAGCCACGTTACCACGTAGGAGTATTAACAAGGTGCCACTGGAGAGGTGAACAGCCCGGCTCTAAATACTGCAGGGGTGGATCATGGAATGTGGATCAGCTGTGTAGGAATGGAGCAGGATGAACGGCCACGCCTCCTCACCTGCTTCCTCTAGACACGCCCCTTTTCTCTTCTGGTTGATGCTTCAGCAAAACCAGAGCTACAAGACAAAGAGTTTGGCGCAAATCCGGTTGATGCGCGTGAATCAAACATCGTGGACGTGAACTTCCTCGCTCGCGAGGTTAATCTCTGCTCGCGCTCGAAGGTGTTGTTATTGACAGCAAGGGGGCGGAGCCAGTCACCGGCATCTCCACGTCTGATTGGTTCCACTTTTGGTCCTTGGATTGGCTGGATTTCGTCCCCGTTGACCGTTGTGAATCCCCAGAACTGATGGAGCAGGATGAACGGATCGGATTAACGGTACCTGAGGTGTGCAAGTGGTACATGAAGACAGACAATGTCCCTCTCTGTCTTCTTCACAAATGGCTGTGGAAACCCCTCACGTGAGATCTATGTCACTTCCGTTTTACTTTCACTATGAGTCATTGCTGTAAATCACCGTTAGCTGAGTAGCACATTAGCTGCCATTAGATAGCTGGTATCAGCGTTTTCTGTTAACAACCTTTAAAAAACACTGCAGAGTCCAATCAAAGTTCTGATGACATAATACATAATAATAATGCTATGATGTCATAACTGAATAAACTCATCATAGGAAAATATTTAAAAGTTAGCTAAATATCTACTGAATTAAACTTTCTTTACAAATACATGTAATATTAAAAGCAGCATCAAGGGTTTGCAGTCAAAATGATTCAGTTTTGATTTGACACAAGATTCAAAGAACTATCTTCACATGTTGTTGTTTTTATGAGCTAATATCCCCCACAACACGCTAGAGAGACGTTTTACAGCAGTCAATGAATATCTTTTTCCTAAAGTGGACATCATGGTTCTCCACAGCATGTCCTCCGGCCTCAAACGTTGGAGCGTCTCCTGTCAAAACTGGAGCTCGCACTCATTCCAACACACTCCATATGGATTTCCTGCAGGAGGAAAAGACGACTTGTCAACAAGGCAAAAGTGATGCTGATCAGGATGCTCGGCCTGCGCTTAGTGCTCCTAATGGCCTTTGGCACGTTTCACTGCGCCCAAAGGAAAGCCACCAATCAGAGCCTGGAGTCTCCAACACAGCTGTCAATCACTGCCAGTGACACGTTGACAATCAAACCGTCTGATCTAAACATCCTATGAGCTGTTTCAGAGGCATGTTTCAGCTACTGATGAGCAGTAAAACATGTCGGGACAGAAAGCAGTCGAGCCAGGACGTGTCTCCTTGTGGACGTGTAGATTATGTCTCGTGTTCTACAGTCAAGAGACAGTGAGACGTTTCATCGAAGTCACTAAATGTTGCTTTAAAGCCGTCATCACAAAGACATAGTTTCACTTTGTGTGTTTGTCTTGAAGGACACGCTACATCCAGACGGAGGAAGATGAAGCAGGTAAACGGCTACAAATAGAACACAATGAAGCTGAGTAACACACACACACTGAAACACAGAGCATCTCACCAATGGTGAAGCTGAAGCGTCCGTGCAGAAAGTAGCACTGCCGCCCTTTTGAAACGCCTGTTTGTTGGACGTTGGTCGTGTCGTTGGGCTCCTGATGTGCACGGTGTCCCTCAGTGGGTGAGGGGGGGCCGTTCTCTCTGTGCTGCTGTGGACGGGTGTTCAGGGTAAACGCCGCCCTTTTCCTCTTTGCTCTTCGCCCCTCGAGGCTCTAACAACTCTGATCTGCTCCATTGAGACACTTTCATGTCTGATATTTATATTTACTGTGAATTAGTTTCCTCTGCTGCTCCGTCACACACAGCGTTTCTATTTGAAATGAGAAGCAAACAAAAGCGTGATAGTTAAACACCCGACAGTCAAGAAGCGTATTCAAATGTTTCAGAGCAGCTGACGTCATCGAGGCAGCTGCTGTCCCATGAAACGAGCGTCCTCTGTTGTCCCCGTGAGTCAGGACCCCCGAGTCTGTTCTCCCCAGAACGCAAGTCCGTCCTCTGCGTCCTATCGTTGAGAAAGGGCCCCACGTTGGGAGGTTAATACGAGCAGCGTGGAGATCAGGACCTTCAGCTGCTTCCACGTGTCGTCCAGTCGACAGGGGACACGAGGACAGAGGTCCCTCATGATGCAGCTGTGGACAGTCTTCTCGTATGTTTCTGTTGCTGCTTATTACCCGTCCATGACCAGCCGTTCTCCTGAAGCTTCCCCTGGACCGAGGCGCTAATGGAACCACTGAGCTCCACCACCGGGGCTCCCTGAAGACCTTTACTGGTGCTCTGAGTTCTCTCCGTTCTTCCTGCTGCAGGAACGTCTCCGCGCCCCTCAGCTGCTGTTCATACAGCTGTCAATCATGTTGAATGACACGTGAATGAAGGCGGCACGATGCAGCGCGCTGAGGCCATGCAGAGAAGCTCAAGTAGCGGTGAGCCTTGTAGTGACGTCATTGTCTTAACTCAGGTAGTGACGTGATGTCACCTGTCAATCACAGGTCAGTGGAGCCACGATAATGAAGTAACTGTTGTTCTTTGGTGACTAAAGAGCCTCTTCTTGTTCACAACAACGGGTTCAGTCATCGAGCAGCAGCACATGTGGGATTAGTTCACTTCCTGCTTGTAGTTCACTGAGAACGTCAGCGCCTCTGGACACGATGGACTAACATCTGGAGGGACAACGTCCCCTTGCTGGACATCAACACGAGTTCCCTCGTTGTCCTCTTACAGGACGTTGTCCCACACACGTCTCTGGTTTAGTTCAGTGTGTTGTGTTCTAGTGTCTTTGAAACACTTAAAACGCACTTATGTGACGTCACAGAACTAACCGGTGACTCTGTGGGCCACAGCGCCCCCACGTGGGCAAACCAAGCAGCTGCTTATAAGCGCTCAGCCTGACGGTGACGTGTGCTGCAGAACTCTGTTCAGAAAGGGTTGAATTAA